GCTCATGAGTTTAGCATCATCTACAGCTGCCAACACCACTTCTTTAGGAAGATGGAATGCCAAGGGCTTGGATCTCTGCTGTTCTCAGTCAAAATCTGCCTTCCTGCTCTGTTTTATAGTTGAGTGTATTTTTTTCTGTCGTAGCCGTTCCCGGTTCATTTTTTCCACCCTAGAACAAAATCAAAAGATCCCTCAGTGTACAAAGAAAACATTTAAATATTCAACTGTTGAGATATGATGAACCAACAAAACATCTTCAGATAGAAAAAAAACAGTCCCTGTTCTGGGGATATTACCCAGCAAAGCAGTTAAAATCTAATGGATGAGTGGTAGTTCCTTAAAAAAAGGAATTTAAAGGAGTATGAACAAAATTGTTTAAAAATGCTGCAAATTAAATTGTGGGACATGATAGCCTGAACTCAAATAAAGACCATTTAAATGAAGATACCTCTCTATGAGTTTCTGTGCTGTCTCCTTAGACACCACCTTGGGTTTCTCGATCGCCTCGGTGACCATGGTCCGGATTTTTTCCAGGCAAATTGCCAGATTCCTCATTTGGTAGCGACTCTCCTCTGAGGTCACAATCAACTCACCAGCCCGGTTTATCTTATTCCTGTGCTGAAGGGATGAGAAAACGTGATGTGAACACTGAAACCTCATTGGAACTGTCATGTTCTGACACTGAGACACTGAAACCATGGTTGGAAGGGGAGGGTTGGTACCATCAGAGCCATTTTCTGTCTCACAGATTCGGGAATCCAGTCGGCCGATGCCAGGTGGAACCGAACCTCCGCTTTGGAATTCACTGGGAGGAAAAACAGGGTCTTTGTTTCAGTGTCACAGCCTGACTTCCTCAGACTCATGAGATAATTCAGCCTGATCTCTGCTGGCTTTCAACATGGGATGATTCCATGATGAATCTCCTGAAAGGTCACAGTTCTTTTCTTGCTGTATCTATACACACCACTCTACAAGACAAACTTATACCTGTCATGGCATTTGCCTTTCTAGACACTACAGAATTTAGCACCTGCCACTGCCTACCTCATTTTTAATGGCAGAACAGGGAGTATTTTAAGTTTATTTGAATTAAGCTGAGAATTTCTTGCAGAATGACCTTTCAGAATCCATCTGGCTCTATTATATTTGATCTATGGATAGAGGTGGTGTTCCTTGTGGCACCTGTAGCAGAAATGATCCCTGTAAGTGTTCATAGGGGCACCAAATGTGTTACCACTGGTCTCCAGCACTATGAAGACTCAGAAGTTGTGTTAAAATGCAGGGCGATGACAATGAAAAATAAGTGTCCAGAAGCATGAAGATGCTGTTTAACTTCAAGTTCTCAATATTTTGCCACATGGTACAGAAAAACAACCGAAAATGGTGGTTTGTCCGAGGGAGCAGCTGTTCCTCACCTTTATTAACATTCTGCCCGCCGGGGCCGCTGCTCCGGCTGTAGGACACGGTCAGGCGAGCTGGAAGAGAGGGGCAGGGGCTGAGCCGGGACGGGGCCGAGCTCGGAACACGGTGCCGGTGTGTTTGCCTTCCCGGCAAGGCTGTGCTGGGCGGGGGGACTCACCCATGGGGATGTCGAGGACGGGCGGCTGCAGCTGCTCCTGGAAGACACACCGGGGGCGGTGTCGGGGGATCCCTGTGGTCCCTGCGGCCCCTCGGGCGGCCCAGCCCGACCCGGGGACACGGGCTCGGACCGGGCTCGAACCGGGCCCGGCCCCGGCCCTTCCGCTCGCCGCGCCTCACAACAGCCACGGCAGCGCGAAGCCCCGCCCACCCGCGCTATGGCCACGCCCACCCGCGCTGTGGTCCCGCCCACCCGCACTATGGCCACGCCCACCCCGCACTATGGCCACGCCCACCCGCACTATGGCCACGCCCGTAATTAATAATCTATTAAACAAACCCCGCCTTCCCGCTGTCAATCAACCAATAAACCCCGCCCAAACGCCGTCCCTTGGCCTCTTCCTCTTTCCCCCCGCCCCTCTGACCGTGGTGCGGGCAGCGGTTCCTTCCTGCCGCGGAGGGTACAGCTTGTCCAGGCTGTGGGAGCTCCGGTATTCGGTGCCGGCGGCGGCCCGCTGCGAGAAGCGGGCGCACAGAAGCGCCGGCCCCAGCCGCGGCCGGCACAGGCCCCGCAGCGTGTGCGCCGCCATGTTGGCCCCCGCGGTGCGCTCCCGCCAGGCGTCCCCACGGAAACGGCAGCCGCGCGCCGCGTTCCGGGGCGGGGCGGGCCGCAGGAAGCAATGGGGGCGATTTAGAGGAATAAAAAGGCTCCTTGGCGGGTGTGGGGTGGATATTGAGCGTGTGATGTCCGTGGTGGGGCTCTGTGGGGCGGGGAGTGTCTGCAGCACTAATGGGAGGTGTATGCTGCCGAGAGAAGGGGATGCGGGGGGATGAAGGATGAGGCATGGCGGAGGTCATGGTGTCTGTGCGCCCCAGACCTGCGTGGTCACCAGCGCTAAAAATGAAAATACATCGCGCTTTTTTAATGTGTTGTGTAGTTTTTGCACCTGGAGTGCTTCAGTTTTCACGTTTTTATCCTGTCAAAGCGCTAAAGAGTTACATACAAATACACATGTATATACATAAATCATTTCTTTGAATGCTGATATAGCAGCGGTGGGTGTAGGATGCAGGGGAGTGAGGCAGTTGTGGAAGTCCTTCAACCTTTACTCTTGCTGGAGCTGTCAGGCTGGCTTGACAAGAAGGGTGTGCGTTCCAGAGGGGCAGGGATTGCTATTCCTGGCAGCAGGAAAATGCACAGGCAGGGATGGGCTGTCATTTGCTCTGCTGTTTTGACAGGAGCTGACAGTCTCTTATTTAAAACTGTGGATGAAGCCAAAATGGGTGTTCAGAAGATGACACAGACTGTGTGACTGATCTGAGTCCCACACAGATAATCCATTTAAAGTCAGGGAACTCAGTCCTTGGGAGGGAGAAAGTCCTGAACATGGATGGTTCTCTGCCCTGGCTGCAGCCGAGCAGCTCCTCACTTTGCTTTAATCAAACTTCTGGAGTTCTGCTCCACTGCCCTTGTCCAAACTCAGCTGAAAACAAAATGCTTTAAGGAAAAAACCCAGAGCTATCAGAGGCAAACCATGCCATCTGGTGACCTTAATTTCTAACAGGGAACAGGTAAATGTTTGTGATTTGTAGCCAGAGTGATGGGTAAAATACTCAAGGCAGGATGACTCATTTACCAGCTGCTGTCAAACTTGTCTGATGGTTGTGCAGGAGCACCTTCCAAGGACAGTGCCACAGAGGGGCTGGGGAAGGAGCTGGCAAGTCACACAGGTGAAGCCAGGCCAGTCTAAAAGGACATTTGTCTGGTTTTGCTTCATTCCCACACCACAAAGCCTCGGTAAAAAGCTGGGTGATATCTGTTTGGATGGTTGGAAACTGCTCTCCCTGTCAGGCAGGGCTTGGGATGTTAAGGTCTGACTTTGGTGTGAGCCAAGAGAGCCAAACCTTTGGCATTTCAGCTGGAGAAAGCAACTGCTTTGTCACTGGTCCTGACTGAGGAAGATACCTCAGCCCCTTGGTGGTCACTGATGAGCAAGAGCTGTCCAGAGCCATCCCAAAAACCTGAAGGAAAGGCTGAAGAGTCCACAGATTCAGTCACTCCCTGTGTGAGTGAGGGTAAAGGCTGTCAATGTAGGAGCAAGGTCCCTCAGGGCTTTGAGGGGCCTTCCAGAAGGTCTCAGTTGCTGTAAGAGAGGGAAGATGCTGAATCCTTCCTGGGGGAACTTGAGCTCTGTAAATCCCTTGAATTTGTGCTTCAAGTGGCCCCTCCCTGTAAATAACAATAGTTGTCCTCCTGAAGGGTTATTCCAGCTGGTGGTACAGTGAGAAGCCAGGCCAGATCTGATGGAACTGTACGTGTCTAAATGCCAGCTTTCAAATTCAGCATGAAACCAGATAGTTGGCAAGCTGTGCCCTTACTGACCTTAATGCTGTGAACTGAAGAGGGACACTGATTTTGGCAAATTCTGAAATGATTTCCTGTGACATCATACTTCTGCTTATCCATTTTAATTGCATGCAGCAATTTTCCTTTCTGTCATGAGCCATGGGGGTGTGCTGTTATGTAGCAGTTTCTCTGGTAGAGTGGTTGCTCAGCACTCTCCTGTTCCCTCTCAGTGGAGTTGTGTAGCTTTCCTTGGTGTTCCAAAAGCAATTGGAAAAGTTTAGATCAAAGGTGGCACAAAATGCCAAAGATGCTTATTTCTCCTCTGATCACTGAAAGCTTCACTTAAGGCAGGAATTGAGTGACTCTGACTCACACAGTCAATCAGGATGTGTATGTATGGCCACTAATATTTTTGGATGCAGAAAAAATTTCCCTCAGCACTTTGCTGAACATGAACACTGATACACGGCAGCTGTGCCTTTGTCAAGCCAAGTACTAATATCATGTTACTTACATCAGTCATTTTTGGATTTGCGGTTTGCAAAAAAGCCCAAAAGAAAAATAGGATTTGAATTGGGACCTTAGAAATTGTGTGGTTTTACTTCCAAGCTGACAAAAGAGGGGTTTTATTTCGTGGCAGTGTTGGCAGTCCAAGTGCACAAAAATGTGTGTTATATAAATAATGCAGCAGAATAGTTCAGCATATTCTCTTTCCTTTCTGCAAGGGTGCCTGAAGCACTTTCTCAACCCAAATTGTATATGAAAATCAAAGAATTAACTCTTGTCCTGTCCTTAAAAGTAAAAAGAACTGTAAGAGCTGAGAAACTGGCGTTTCTTTGGATTCTAGAGGAGAATAGAGCATTTAAAAATATATTTAATGTGTTGTGCACTTAACTGTGAGGCTGATCCACATGGGATTGTTTAAAACAGAAAGTGAGGGTTATTCCCTTCCCACACCTTTGCAGCACGAAGTGACTGCAGGGCAAACACTGCCTGGCTTAAACCAACACTGCTACAAATGCCAAGTCAATGGGTGGTGAACACTCCCAGGAAATCAACAACACTTCCCTTGCTGTTGTTCATTTTAATTTATTTTATTTTATTAGACAACTGCTTTCCATTATAAATAAATAAGGCATGAAGGTTCTCCGTACTGTTGCCAGTTTGGAGAGCTGGTAGCCACAGCCGAGCGTACGGCTCCTGATGTGTCTGGGGCTGTGGGGCACCTGGAAATGCAGAGTATGGAAGAGCAGAGCAGTTGGTGGTTTTGAGGAGGAGACCTCTGGAGCAGGGGTGGTTTGTGCATCACATTCCTGCCAACTTACCTCTGTGGCACACAGCTTAACAAAACAGGTTTTTTTTTGGGGGGGGGTTTCTGCATTAATTCCATGGGGAGTGAAAGAAAGGTCGTTCCTTGTAGCATCAAAGCCCTGGATGTGGGGGATAATTCCATTCGAGCAGTCTTCCCCTTCCAAAGCCACATTCACATTTCTGTATCTCCATGTTGCAAAGTTTCCAGCTGTTGACCCAAGATTTTGGGATGTAAGCTGGTGAAAAGAGAATCCAGATGTAGCTGATGGTTGCTCCAGGCTGGTATAGAGTAGGTTGCTTACTGAGCTGCTGGGTTTTGTGGCTCAATGCTCAGGGTATTGCCTAAGCTGTAATGAGATGCTGCTTCTCTGCCTAAAATGCATCTGACTGTACAAGGTCATCATCTAGTCCAGGGAAACTGGAAACTGGTGATACCTGAGACTGCAGTGGCCTTTTGGCTGTGTGTTTGCATGTCTGTGGAAGCCAAAGTGAGGAGATTTCAGTGCTGGAAAGGGAACTGGAACATGAGTGGCTTCAGCATCTCAACAAAGAAAGATTATTTTCAGCAGGAAGCTGAAATTTGTCCTTGTGGCTGGGGAGATGTTTGGAGCAGGAGTGAGGGGTGATGTGTGATCCATGCTACTGCCAGGGCCAGACTCCTGTCCCGGGAGATGCTGCATCCCCTGGCTTTTGTGTGAGTTCCTGGGAGTCAGTTTTGTGAGCCCATGCAAGCTGTTTTTGAGGAATTTGCTATGATGGGACAATGACCTCTTGAAGAGCACAGCACAGAGAGCTGGTACCCATACCATGAGATGAAAGTGTGTCTCTGATGTTGTAATAGCACTTCTTGTCTTGCTATGGGAAAGCCCTGGGCACCAAGTTCCTACCAGGTACAGTGCTTCACCTGGGTTGTAATGCCAGAGCAGACAAAGCGAGTAAATCCCATATGCCTGCAAGGTCTGCAGAGTGTGGAGTGAAACACTGAGCGACGCTGATGGAGATGGAACAATCAGTTTTATGTTTCTCTTCAAGTTTTTCCAGTTGCAATGAGCTTGCATTGTATAGAGCTGAAAAACCTGACTGATTAGAGAATGGCTTAAATAGCAAGACCATACTGCCCTTTGGGGAAGGCAGGGATAGAAATCTCTTGGGTTCAAGCATAGGTTTCTCAGCTATAAAACCTAACGGAGGACTGGGCTGCTGTGCTGGGGCAGCCCCTAAAGTTCTGATGGCTTTTTGTTTTACTTTGAGACGCTGTACTCCAGCTGTGGCAGGACACTGGAGGACATCCAGGCTTTTGCTTGCAGATAATTGGGCTGTAGGACAAGCTGAAAAAGAGTGGAGGGGGAGATTGATTTCTTTTCTTTCATGGTGGGGTTTACGTTGCTGTTGTGATGTCTGGCAGCGGCAGTAACTCATGCAGAGATCCATCATGTGGTTTCTGAAATCCTCTAACTACAATGTACAATTGTCCCAATGGGTTGTCTAGAGCCTAAGCTTAAAAAAGTGAGTTGGGTCCCTGTGACATTCTCTCACTTGCAGACTTCTCAAACCTTCAAAGCAGAGGGGCCACGTGGCGTTTTCTGGGGCTCAAAAGAAGATGTGGCCGTTGCAATTGCACACGGGAGCTGCGGAGAGCCAGGATTCATTTGCTGCTCTTGTTTTTCACCTTTGTGGCATTGATGTCTGCTTTTGTTTTCTGGATGCGGGAGAAGATCTCCTTAAAAAGAGCCTTGTACTCGGGCTGGCTCTGCTCCAGCCGCTTGTCCACAGCCTCCACATGTTTGCTGATGGTCTTCTCCATGGTTTTCCGCTCTTCCAGCTCATTCCCCTCTCCTCGGAAGTCCCTGAAGGAGCTGTCGCGGGAGATGGGCCGGGAGGTCTGGACCCCTGTGTGGCGCACGCTGTCCTTGTGCTGCCGGCACTTGCTGAGGAGCTCCTCGTATTTCTCCAGCAGGGCGTGGTACTGCTCGTCCACCTCGCGCAGGATGGACATGCCCCGCTTGCGCACGTTGTTGGCGTGCAGGGTGTAATTGCCCTCGTGCCGGCTCACAGCGTCCTTGGTCACGATAGCGTTCAGGGCCGTGTCGCTGCAGCTTTTCCGCACGGGGTGGTTTGGGGAAGGGGTCATGGATGTCCCGTGGCTTTTCCCTCCCTCCTCCTCAGACAGGTCGATGTAATCTGCTTCTGGGGCATTGTTCAGTGGCTCGAGGAGGGCTTCGGAGAGGTTGTCCTCTCTGCTGAGCAGGTACTTCTTGACTTGTTTCATCTGCTGGAGCTCCAGGAGCTCTGCCTCCAGCTCCTTGATGCGCAGTTTGCAGTTCTCCATCTCGCACACCCGCTGCTCCAGGTCCGAGTACTCCTGGATAACCGAGGTGTACTCACGTTCCACCCTTTCCTTCCGCTGCTTCTCCTGGTTCACCTGGGATCTCAGTGAGTTCACCATGGCTTGGAGACGCTCATTCTCCCTCTCCAGCGGCTTCTGGTTGAATTCTGTGGAAGAGCTGTGGACCTGGAACCCATCCTCATACCTGAAAGAGGAGAAGGATGCTTGAGAGAGTCTGACCAAGCGATATGCCCATGATAGATTTGTGTTCTATTGTTATGTGAGTAGTTCCACTGATGTCCAAAAAGGACACGAGCTCATGGAGTGAGATGTGCCTTCTCCATGTGCCAGGAGACCACAAGGTGTGGCTCTTCTGGACACAAAGAAAAATCTCTGTCCCACAGAACTTGCGGTTTTATTGGACAGCAGTAATAAAAGACAGGAGGGAAATGAGATCCTAAAAGGTAAAAGAGACATATGGTTAACAGACAAGCCACCAGCATTGCAGTGAAGCAAGAATGAGTGTTCAAGTGCTATCAGTCTAAGCTGAAAGTAGGTGGCTTTGGGTTTTTTCCTGGGAGAGTCCATCAGCTGCTCTCTGCACCATGGAGTTCATCATCTACCCACTGCATATGGTGACAACTCCAGACCCACCCAGACAAAATCTTGAAGCTGCTGCCTGTGCAGCCCAGTGTTTGAGAGGTGCTCTGGAGGGAGTGAGGGAAGATTTACATGGCAAGGCAGACAGAGATTTTTGATAGAGCTTCCCCTTCTTCATTATCTGGAAAGTGATAACAAGCACTTCCCCCTTCCCTTCAGGAATTTGGGTTTTCCTCCTCAGTGAAGCACCCGTGGCATCTGGTTTGTTCAGAACAGATTGGAAAATTGCAAGCTCCATGGCTTCCCCTGGGAGGCATGGCTGTGGTGGGGGGTATTGAACAGATTTCAAGGCACTGAAGGGCAGCCTGACCTTCAGAGACAACTGTGGAGCTGCAAGGGGACCCAAGGTCCTGAGGTATGGGGGGAGAGTGGGATTGGGAGACTGCGGGGTAAAGAACCACAGAGACATTAAGTGGATTTTGCTGGGGGTCAGGTTATGGCCTGATTAACATCCCCATTGCTGCTGCAGTGAAAATGTCTTTGGCTCATATCCTCTGGCAGAGGATGCTTTCAGTAACAAAGTTTATTGATTGCTTATCTATTTAAAGAACCCTCTTTTGTGGACAAAGCTGAGCAAGAAATGCCCTCATGAGGTCAATGAATTAACACAGTGGCTGGGTTTTGAGGAGGATTAAGGCTGCTGTTGCTGTAATGCTGAAGGTGTTTGTACAGCGCTTGGCAGCATGTGGTGTATCTGGGTGTGTGACTGGTGTTCTTGGGGGGTGCTGGAGTCAAGCAGCACAAAATGAACCATCTCAACTGGTTTCAGTGAGCCAGAGGTGCTGGTGCTGTGCTGGAAGGCAGCTGTTAAGGGAAAACAGGCTGTGTTGGTTTGGGCAGGGAAGTATCACCATGCTGGGATCATGAAGGCTCTGCTTTGCCAACAGGTGCCTTAGGCAGGTGTGTTGGTGAGAGGAACATCCCCCCTTCAGCTCCAGACGTGGCTTTCAGGCTCTGATGCCCAGCCTCTACGTCTGAAGGGTTTCTGTGCACCCCTAGAGGTGTGAGGAGCAGTTTGGAGAGGTTGCCAAAGCCAAGGTTCCATACCTGGGGCTGGAGCAGAGCTCCTTGAGGCAGGGGAAGGTGTGGATGGTTCGGCGCCGCTCCCTCTTCTCCCTCCGGATGCGGAGCTGCTCCAAGCTCCGCATTTCCTCCACCTGCTTCTGCAGCTCCTCCACCTGGTTCTGCAGCCCCTCGATTGTTTCTGTCAAGCTGCAGAGAGAGAAGGGAGCATAGGTGATGAGTCAGGCTACAGGTTCCTAAAAGGTGTTTTTTTCCTATAGAGAAATCCAGTCTAGGAAAGATGCTTCCAGTTTCTAGAGTGTGCCCTGGGATCATGACAGCACTTATTTTTTGTTGGTCTTTTTTTGTGTGGTCACTCTTGAATGGGGTTGGTTATAAAGAAGGGACAGGGGGATTGATTCAAGTCCTCTTGTCTTCAAATCAGTTGGCTGAAAGAGTCACCTCTGGGACATAAGCACTACCCTGGAACATCTCTGCACTTAAAACAAGCATCTATTCCTTTTGTTTACCTTGTAGAGAAACACAGGGACTGGGCAGAGATTTTGTTTTGTTCTGTCTGCAGATAGTATGTAAAACACTCTGCTCAGAAATTTGTTCTCCACACAGTTATTTGCAAACAATGCTGCATTACAAGGACATTGCTTAGGCTGCTGTTTCTAGGGATGACCTTGATCATGGGCTTGTTTTAGGAAAGAAATATTATTGATAAACTGATGTTTCAGCATGGACTAGCCAGGGTTTCATGAGTTGCTGGATCTGTGCCTGGTGTTTCTTTAGGGCTGTGTGCTGGGGATCTCCCTCATAAAATGATGTGCCTTTTCTTAAAGGAAATGCATATGAGGAGAGACATCTCTCCAGGTAGCTTCAGACACTCCTTTATCTAGCCCTCACCCCAGGGATGTCTGTGCTGTAGCTGACCCTGCTAAGCAGCATTACTGCAACACACTTGTATTCTAAACAGCTGCAAAACTGGGCTGATACAAAAGAGAATGGCTCAAATTGCAATGATGGCTGCACTTTGGAGCAGGGAAAAGGTGAGCTGAAGGTTCTTGGATCTTGAAGACCCAGGGGAGGCCGTACCACTGGATCTTCTGTTGGGAAGTCTTGCTTTCCAGCACGAGCTTCTGGTTAGCCAGCTCCAGGTCCCGCGCTGTCAGGTCCAGCTGCTCGTAGACTTTCGCATGCTGTTCGTTCATCTGCCGCAGCATCTCCAGTTGCTTGGTCAGGTACTGCAAGGAAAAGTGAAACATGAGCACTCCAGGTCCAAAACCCAGCTTTTTTCACAAGCAGAAATTCCTACAGCCTTTTCTCCCTCTGACAACGTGTTCTGTGGCTCTGCCTGGTTGAAGCCTCTTCCACAGATGAAATATTCATCCCCCTGACCACTGTAAATATTTTTGTGTCTAAAATACAATTGAACTTCCCCTGCCCTCTGTGAAAGGCACTAACCTCTATCTCTCTCTTTTCAGCTGCTTTTTTGTTCCCAGTACCAAAGAAAGCTGATATCCCTGGGACTTAAAGTTGACTGAAATTGGCCAGTTGATTACTGGATTGTCTGACAGATCGATTGCAGAAGCTGTGTTTTCTTGGGAATTCAGGCTAAAACTCTGAATCTGTGAAATATGAGACCTGTGGTTTCTGTGGATTTTCACACCCTTTTCTGTAAGCCTGCCATTGCAAAATCTTATCCTCAGAAGACTAGGAGGGGGCATTTACTCTGGTGCTCACTCTCAGCTGGGGCCAGATTCCAGATGCTATGGTGGATGTGCTTCTGATGGGCTGCTGAAGGGGCATGGCTAAATCCCCATCCTCCTAGTTCCCTCAAACATCACTTGTCTGATCCCTGCAGCATCATGTGCTGCTCTTGTGAACTGGCAGCCCTCCTCTGCCCTGTGTCCTTTCAAATCAGGGGGTGTCCAATCTTTTTTAACTCACAGATCCCTAGAAGGTTTCCAGTGGATGAAAACCTTCCCAGGCACAGCAGGTTTAAGCCTCTAAGATCAGTTCTGTGAGAACTGATTCAGTTCTTAGAAATACTGCATTGACCCCACAGGATGCTTGAAATGGGGTTTTAGATTGCAGCTCTTGGAGAAAGAGCTATTTCATGCCTTTAACAAAGGGGGCTGTGTTATGGGGGTGCTGAGGAGCCAGCTGGGAACAAACGCGATTCTGAATCTCTGGGATCAAGGGAAAGCTGCAGCAGAGCACAGTGAAATGAGTGTGAAGGCTGATGGATGTGCAGGGGAAGGCCAAACGTGACCCAGATGCAGTCTGTGCCAAAATCTGGTGTGCACATCTGGGCAGGGAGTGAGGATGTGAGAAAAGGGCAAAAGCCAGTTAATGGGGGAACGAGACCCTCTCCAGGGCTGGGATGAGCTTTAATCCATCAACATATTTTAAAACAGAGTTTAAAACTGAAACTCACTTTAATCCATTCTGCTTCAGGCACTTACAGAAGATATGTCACCTTCTGTGCTCCACAGCACATCCCTGCCTTTCTGCTGGCATCTGAGCTGCTGGCACTGGTGGAAGTGCCCCTTTCCCACCTTCGCCCTTAGGTGACTGCAGCCCGTCCCCATCCCTGTCCCAACAGCGTCCCTACCTCAATCTCCTGCACTTGCTCCTCGTTGGTGGCATACATCTGCTGCAGGGAGTCCTCCAGCTCTTTGTTTCGCTCCAGCAGTGTCTTCCCCAGCTCTGCAGCCAAGTGCAAGTCTGAAAAGCAGAGGTACAAAGCTGCTGCAGTTCCCACAGCTCCATGGCTGGATGTGGTGGGATGTCTTCCCCCCCAAAAAAATGACTTCACACCAAGCACAGCAGTACATTTTTCATGGCACTGGTTTTACTGGCACTGTTCACTGGTACTGTTTTGACCTGGATGTGTGCTCACAGAAAATACAGGATCTGGCCTCTTGTCTTGCTGGGCTGCAGGAGCAAGGGGAGAGCAAGCTCAGGACTCTGCAGCTCCTCCATGCAATGGCAAATTGGTGCTTTGCTGGCTGCAAAATCCTCCTGTACTCCCTGCACACTGTAACCAGGATCTGGGCTGTGGCAGGTGCTCAGCACCACCATCCCTCATCGCTGAGAAGGGCTCAGCACCTGTCAGAATGGAGCAAAGGGTTGGTAAGGCCCTGCAGGGCCTTGGGGATGCTCTCTAAATTACATTATTATCTCTAATGAAGGGAGTGCCTCGCCTTTTCTGTCAGCCTCCATCCATCACCCGCTAATAGACTGACAGGAGTAATAAAACCCCGTGTGGCCCGAGGAGGCTGGAGGCACCTCCCAGATGTGCTGCCCTAGTAGCACTGCAGCAGCCAAATCCAAGGCACTTTCCTTGGGACAGCTCCAGGGAAAGACAAACCACTTTGTGTTCACTCTTTGCCACCTCTAAACACCCTTAGGAAGCTACTGAAATAGTAGGATTTCAGGAGAAATGCAGGGAGAAGTAGATGTTGACAGTGTGATCAGTTTAAAATGCTGGTTTTGCTGCTGGGAAAAGAAAAAGCCTTCAACCCCTCTGTTGGCTAAAGCCTGAGCACACAAGTGATGCTGTTTGTGAGGCTGGGACAGCACAGCTGGCTCTGAGAACAGCCCTTTGCTTTCACAGGAATTGGTTGTCTTCTTAAAACCTATGAGTGTGTGGGTTTCATTTTTCTTGGTGCTTCTAGAAGTAACAGCTCTTAGGATGTCAGAGTGAAAATCTGACCTTAATCCTTCCAAAAGGTAAAAAATGGGTCCTGGTGTGTGTTATTTCTCTTTATTTTTCTGGTGCTATGCAGCTCTAGGTAATTAAGGAGTGACAATCCTGCAGGATGTGAGGGGATCTAGGTCTCCTGCCCTGGCATTTTCTTAGCCTGTTGTAATACTTCCCTCTAGTCTGCACCTAACAATGTGTTTTGCAAAGGCTTTTCCAGGGCTGGGACTAGCTATCATTTTCTCTGTTGGTTCATTTGGCCATGCAGTTTATTGGGAAAGAGTGATACTTGGTCACTGAGACAAGAAGAAGGGAAATCAGAACTCCTGGGATATATTTTGAGCCTGGGAAAGCCCTGACCTCTCATACAACACAAATTGAGGCTCACGCTGACCTTGGACATGAGTGCTTGCCAGGGGATGAGCTACTACTGGTGTCAGTGCCTAGGATGGGGCTTTCCTGATGGATAATGCTGTGCTGTGGGGTGTGCTGATATGTCACTAGTTTGTGTGTTTGTTTCTGCTGGCTTCCCAGATGTGGTGCTGCCAACAGCTGCTCAGTATGTCCTCAGATCTCCCCTTTCCATGGGAATGTTTCTCCAGCTGTGCCCTGCATTGCAGGGTGTTATTATTAAAAGGGCTGTGACCTTTTTAATTATAATCCTCTTCATTGCACAGTGACCCAGTCTGAGAGCTGCAGTCACAGCTCTCCCTGCAATCAAGTTATTGGCACGTTTCCCCATGGACAGACCTCCTGCACCTATTTGGTTTATTCCAAGCACCAAATTTCCCTAGTTTATAAAGTGCCCTTGGGAGACCCGAGTGTTTGCTACACCAGCTGGGGCTGGGGGAACAGCCAGATGCCAGCAGAGATGAAGGATAATTTGTGCCTTTAAGCTGCTTGGGGCTGTATTTAATGTCAGCACCACCTTGCCAGAGCCAGTGTTGTTGCTGGAGAGTGGCACCTTGGAAATCACATCCCTGGCAGTAAGCAGGGCCCCAGGATGGAGGTGTGTACTGACAGGGCTCCGTGCTGCGCTCCAGGTAATGAGTCAAGTGTGTCCCTGTCCCTGTGGATTACACCAGTGTTCTCCCACCATATGGCATCCAATTTAATCAGCTGGGGTTGACTTAAGTGGATTAGGCAGTGCAAGATCCTGCATTGTAATTTAAAGGGCTCTGTCAGCAATAATTTAATGGGGGAAATGGGCAGCGTTTGGGAATGAGTGGGAAAGAGGAAAGAATGGGGCTTGGCTCTGAGGAGGAAATTGAGTCTTCATTTCCATTTTGAGCATAAGGGCCCGGGAGACTCCAGGCTTGAAGGACATGGGGGAATTGGTTCTTTTAGTGTCTTTTAACTGCCTTAGCCATTGTCACACACACTCCCTCACTCTCTGCCCACCAGCCAAAGCATCCTTGGTAATCCTGTCTCATCCACCCCCTTGTGCCTGAGTCCTCTTCCCCACCTGTTGGCCCTCCCAGCTTATGAGGCTGTGGGGAGGGAGGGGATGCTGTGGAAGTGCTTTAATGTCATCTTTAGACCAGATCCTTCTTCATCTTTGTACTAATTGTGGCTCTGCAAGGGCTGAGGGAGCACACAGCTCCCCTCCACAGAGACCTTGGAAACCCGAGGCTGAATATGAAATTTCCCCAAGTTGTATGGGGTAGAAAAAGAACTGTTTAGGAATTCAGGAATCCTTTCTACCTAGTACTATGGTTTTCCCACAATTTTTTTTTATTCCTCTTTGCTTCTCCACTGTCAGATCAGCCAGCCAGTGCTGAAGGACTTGCCCTAATTTAGCAGATATGCTGATGCCTCCCTTCCCCCTCCCCTCTGGATGCAGGAGGAGAAATAAAGTGCTGTGTGTCCGCTCAATGTGCCCCATCCCTCCACATACTGCCTGTGCTGAAGGCACCACTGTGAAATGGCCAATGTTCTTCTTCAAAAATGGGGTTTTGATGCTGCCAAATCCTATCAGGAGAGAACTGTGGATGCAAACTGTCCCGGGCAGCACCAGCCTGGTGCCCTCTGGCTCCCTGTTCTGCAAGCACTGATGTGACCCTTCTAATTAACACCAGCCAAGGAGACACGCTGTGTCCCCAAACAAAGGGCTGTGCCTGTGGAGCAGGGGAGGGAGGGATAGAAGCTGCATTTCTCTGAAAGCTTCCATGGGAAAGGCCTCTGAACAAGGAGGGTGGGGATGAAAAGAGAGACCATATGGTGGGAAGGGAGCGGGAGCTGAATCCAAGCAGTGCTTGGTACAGGGGAGCAGCACTGGGCAGAACATCAAGGAGGCACCATCCTGGAGCTTCAGAGATCAGCAGCAGCCCAGCAATAATTCTGCTACCTCTGTGCCACTGAGGAGACTTGAAAAAAACCAGTTCTGATCCAAAAGCTGTAGCAGGTTGCCTTTTAAGGAAAGAGGCTGAGGGACAAACTGCAGGGTATTCCCTCATGACAGCATCCTGTGGCAATGCTGGCACAGGTGGATGTTCCCTGCATGGGGCTGTGGCAGAGCTGGGTGCGTCCCCAGCCTTACAATGAGGCACAAAGAAGATTTGGAGCCATTTATGCCTTCCCAGTGCTGGCCTGCATTTGTTTGAGCAGAGCACTCTGCCACAGACCTCTGGAAGGGCTTCTACCCTCCAGCATCTCCTGGTTGTGACTTTGGGAGAGCAAAAGCCTGGTGCTGGCCAGGTTTTGGCTGCTCTTGGCACAATAATGAACTGGTAGCTCTTCAGATGCTCCTCATAAATGCAGCTTTCTGGAGGAAGCCACCATCTGCTGCAGCTGCTTTGGACTTTGCTCTGTCATCTCTCTTGCAGCGAGGGATTCTCATGTTTAGGCTGTGAGAGAACACACTGGGGATGCTGCACTTGCCTCCTCACCTTTAATAAACCAGCCCTGTCCCTGTCCTGCAAAGCCAGCAGCTTGCAGGGGACATAGAAGTCCTTTGCTGTGTGGTGCAGATGAGCAAGGGTTTATGGATTTGCAGGTCCTTTTCAGCTGAGTGTGTACAAAGGAATTACTTGTGGCTCCTTCCTAAATATGGGGCATGTCCTATGCTGCACATGGTGAATGCATCTACTGAAGAGCAGGGAGGAGGGTGGGGAGGCCTCTGGAGGAAGCTCAGGGTGCTTGTGAGCTGATGGATGGGGTACATTGAGAGTTAAGAACTGATGTTTAATGCTGTTGACGTTTAATTTAATGGCATTTGCTGTCTGCTCCATTACACATGGGTACTTAAAGTCAAAGGTGGGTGCAATTATTCCTTTCCAAGTCTAAATGAATGATGCTATGCTGGTTTACCCTGGGGTAGGGTATACTTGCTACTCATTTATTTTCCTTCATAGTTGCAAGGGATTGTGCTGTCTGGGTATATTACAATGACGATCAGCTTTTGTATATCACTTACTGCTGCTCCATGGCAGGTGATGGAAGCAATCTCTGTTCTTGGCCTGTATGAGACATTGCAATGGAACTTGCTGGGGTGCAGGGAAGCAAATGCCATCTGGCAGCATCTCAAAAACAACCTGAAAACCTTTGCAACATGCCCATTCCACAGAAGATAGTGTTTCCCAAGGCTAGCCAGAGCTTCCAGAGAGTCACCAGTGTTACTGCTGAGACGTGGATTCCCCACTGCTTTTTACACTGGCATAACTCAGACACTGTTGCTCAGTTCAGCTTTGCACTTGGTGTTCTGTGTGTTTTTTAGGAGGATCTGCTATTTTGGTGTTTGGTGGGTTGTTCCAAAAAGGCAGGGCTTGCTTTGTAAAACAGCCCAAATGATGCAGGTGGGGAAAAGCCTCTGTCAGGGCTGTGTGAGAGGAAACACCCTGGCAGCACAGTCACCTCCTCCTCTTCCTTCTCCTTTCAAACTGTGTCTCGCTGGGCTGAGCTGATGTTGGTCACACTAGCATTTTTGTTACCCTAATGAGATTTTCTGGATTTCCTGCTTGGTTTTTTTTCTTCCTTTTCTTTCTCTTGTGTAATCTGTTATGTGCTCCTGTGCTGCCTTTGG